GTTTGTTTGTTCGTTTGTTTTTTAACGAGTTAAAGTTGAGTGAGGTTAGAAATGTCTAACCCAGCGGTGACGTTTTTCTGTCTCTTACTCATTTACTTGGATGTTCAACGTGCTCGACCCAGCGGGCGGAAGGAGAGACCGCTTTGGGAATCGGTTGGAAATGCTTGTTTCTTGTCTTAGCGAGACTGTCTACCTAAGAGGCCCGGGGAGAGGATGGCATTTAAGGTTCCTCTTTGTGTTGTAAAGACACCGAGGCCCAGGGGGGAGAAGTCCCTGCGGAGGACGGATTTATCCGTGATGCTCTGGGTTCTGGGCTAAGTGTAAGTGAGGCTCCTCTCTTTCTCTCTGGCCCCTAGGCTCCTGGAGGAATTGCTACGCCCCCGGTGTACGGTCAGCTCCTGGCTCTGTATCTGCTCCATAATGACATGTAAGTACCGTTTACCTAGAGCTAGAGCGGCAGTTTCTTCGAGGTTATAAGGAAATTATTCATGCATTGAAATAGCGCTGAAACATGGGCACTAGGGGCTGCATCTTTTACTGTAATACTTAATATATCTGTGTCAAGTATCAAATTGTAAACTAATTATTTTAGAACACGCTTGTTTTACATACACCTTCTAAAAGCTCTCCAGTTTGTTATGAGAAATACAATGTCAGTTTCAAATTCCTTTAATTCTCTTGACCTTCTTTCTTGTCTTTCTCTGAAACTTATGGCCTTCGTTTACTTCACGTGTAATCAGTAGACCAAGAGAAATGGAAAGGGAAGATTGAGAAAACCAAGGGGAATTTATTACCAACATGTATGAGATTTCTTGAAAGTTTTATGCTTGTTAATTATTCTTAATTCACGTTTGTTGAAGAAAAGTCAGGAAGCATAACTGCAAAGGAATAGAGGGACTTGTAGTTCTACACCCCTTATACTGTTAAATTTTGTTTTAAATTCTTTTAAACCTTTTTTTCCATATCTTTTAAAAACCTAAACCAAGGTTTTTATCACACACATATCATATAAGTGACCTGTTTCCTTTATTGTCATCTTTTGGTTGTTGTAGTTCAGGCTTCCAGACTCTTAAAAACTGCCTTGAAGTTTTGGTGGCTTTGTGCCCACCGGTGGGAGGAGGGGTTGATACCGAGAAAAGCATGTGCACTGCACGTGTTGTCAAGGAACGCCGGAGCGTTGAAGCTATATACATTTGTTTACTTTTATAGATAAATTACTTGGGCAGTTCTGTTTAAATCTTTGTGTTTTTAGTCTACTGTTGCCTTAAGATCTGGATCATTAATAAAAAATTTACTACAAATGGCAAAATGTTACTTTTTAAAAAAAATTTCATGTCTTTTAATCTGGAAAACTACTCTTTCTTCCCCTGGACAAATTGATGTAAAACAAAATTTCACTCTGTGTTATGTAGAGTGCCTTAAAGTATACTTCTGTATGTTTGTATTGGGATCTAGAATTTTAAACATTTACTGAGATTATTTTATTTTAATTGATGTTTTCTTCTTGGGGATGCAAATTAGGAATAACGCCAGATACCTTTGGAAAAGGATTCCGCCTGCTATAAAGTCCGTAAGTACCTTCTATCTCATCACTCCCATCAGTGATGACACTCATTTAATTGGCCACCTCATAAAAGTTTGCTTTTTTCCCCATGTGGTTCACAGAAATTGTTATTAAACTGATTTTAAAGTTTAAAAATGGATCTTCAAATTCCTCTAATCAGAAATTTTAATTTCCCTTGGATGGTATAGAAATCTGTGCTCAACTCATACTGATCAGATTTCTTGAGACATTTCATGTGTCACTGATTTATGCAGTTTACTGGTGTGGTACTTATTTTGAACCTGGTAATAGTCAGAAGAATATTTTTTAAATGACGATTACTCATAGCATTAAGATTAATTTTGCTAATTAAGATTTTAGGTTTTTTATTTTGGGTGGGAGATTAGATGAAATAACCTCTTAAAAGTTTTTTACAGAGTGGAATGAGGTAAATTTTTACTTTCAAGTGATTCACTGTGTTTAGCATAAATGTGAAATGAAATTTTTAAACATTCACAGAATATTACCAAGAATTCGCCTAAACTCCTTCATTCATTATTCTGTTCAGCAGCAGATCAAATTAGTATGTTCACGCTCTCTCCTTTTCCAGGTCATTCTGTTAATGCCTCTCCAGCCCATGGGTTTAAATAAAGGACAGCGGTGACTTACGTGCCTGGTGTCAGTGCTGTTAGTGGGAGCTTTGGTCTTAGAGAGGCTGCAGTGTGCGACATCCTAGAGTGGCAGTCTGTGCTGTTACCCATTTTGCTATACTTTTGTCCTAAAAAATGCATTCCTTCATGTATATATCAGTCATGTATATTCTGTGTGTTACATATATATGCTATTGAAATATAAATATCTTTTTTAAAACAGTGTTTAAGATAGTTCTCAGACTTAATTGTGAAATATTTTGGATTGCATTCTTATGCCTTAATTTGCTATTATAAAAATTTATATCCAATACAAATAGACTACCGTTCACAGCATTTGAAAACCTTTTTCATAGTATTGAGCTGGAAAGTAATTAAACCTCTTAAAAGAGATGCTATTAAATTATGTTTAAGATACAGTTGTTGACAAGTGAGTTTCCTCAAAAGCAGTAATAATGTTTATTGCAGGCAAACTCTGAACTTGGGGGAATTTGGTCTGTGGGACAGAGGATCTGGCAGAGGGACTTCCCTGGAATCTACACGACCATCAACGCTCACCAGTGGTCCGAGACGGTGCAGCCGATCATGGAAGCTCTCAGAGGTAGCGTCGCTTCGGGGCTAAGGGCTGAGTTAGACTAGACCTGTCCCCCAGGTGCCTCAGGGTTGGAGTGAGGCAGTGGTGGGTTAAAACAGATACTGTCTGCTCAGGGAAAGGGCAGTTTTCAGAATTCTTGTTTAGATTTGTTGTAATCACGTAGTTTTGTCCCATGCTGCGTCAGTCCAAGTTCAGGTCCTCTCTGGCTGTCTCCATTTAATTTTAGATGGAAATTGCTCGTGTCAGGTTTTTTTGCTACTAAGTGAAATCTGGTAACACTTCAATAAGTGCAAGGCAGGGGTTCAGATTTTTTAAACCCATGTTTTTGAAAGTAGAGACTGTGCTTTGGACTTTGTTGACCTCAGCCTTCGATAGGTGTTGCTGAAAGCCCTAGGCAGGAAGGCAGCCCAGCAGGCTCCATGTCCTACCATCATGTACTGTCTCATTCCTGAATCATTTACAGTAGAAACTAAAGCCTGGGGAAGTCCACACATCTCTCCAGGGAGGGAGGGTTTCCTACCAAGAATTAAATTGTTGCTGGAACTGTTGGCAGCCCCTTCCTGTGAGGTTCCAATATTCAGGGCTTGACCTTGACTTGAACCTGAACAAAGTCGGGCGTGGAGAGCAGGCTGGAGAGGTAGAGTCATGCTCTGGTCACCAGGTGTGCCGTGCTGCTCGCGGCAGGACCCTGTGAGACCCTCCTGAGAGAGCACACTAGTTATGCGCCACTCACTCCATGTTGGTAACTAGAATCAGGGCCGTTCAACAACCTTCATTACAAACACGTAAATATATTTCAATGAAAACTCCTCAGGGCTTCAGTCTTGTGTATTCACTTTCCTGTCTGTAATTTTCCTTGTCCTCTGAGAAAGGTTTTTGTCTCGGAGGAAATATGGGAGGTTCATTTGCTCATTCCGCAGCGTTTGAGCCCCTTACCTGCTGGACACAGGCCTAAAAGCAGGTCTCTGGGCTGACCCAGCCTGCTAATAACATTTGCACAAGGACAGTGATGTCACTCAGTTACGCATTTTAAAAGCGTCAGCTTTTTGGTTACTCTGCCGACCCTCCGCTCCCCCGCAGAGGCAACACGGAGACGCGCCTTCGCCCTGGTCTCTCAGGCCTATACCTCGATCATCGCCGATGACTTCGCGGCGTTCGTTGGGCTCCCTGTGGAAGAGGCTGTGAAAGGTATGCTTGGCCTGCTTTTATTTTCAGGGAAAATGGCAAGTGGAAGTGTTTGTTGTGCATGTTCTTTAGAGAGGCGACGTGAAGCATGCTGCCCAGCACCCAGCAGGCCGGGCGGCAGGCGCCCTGAAGGCAGGCTCAGAGTGCTTTCCCACCCAGCCGGTACAGGGGCAGTGACTGTGCCGCCAGATTAGTCAGAGAGAACAGTTGACCTCATTGCTCAGTCAGAAACCCCACCCCCTCTGGCGGTGCAGGTGGGCTCCTCCCGGCCTCCCGTTCCCGCCCTTCTTTCCCTCGAGCTTCGTGCTGATCACCATACCC